TGTGGTACCCAGAATATGAAAAATTGGGACTTCAGAGGTAAGGGGGGAAGGAATGACCAAGGAACAACATACCACTGGTTAGTAGCCAATATTTGAACCATGGTCCTCTGACTCTAAACCAAGAGCAAGAGAGTATAGTCAAAGATTTTGCTGAGGTTGTGAATTTGGGCAACTGGAATGATGGTAATAAGAAAGTTAGGAAAAGGGAGGTGGGTTTTGCTGGGAAAATGTAAGTTCTACTTTGGATATGTTGATTTTGAGATGTTTTTTGTATCACCCAATTTGAAATGTTCTCTAGGCACATGATAATCAGTCCTGGAGTTCAGGAGACAGACTGGCTGGATGTATGGATCTGGAAATCATCTGCATAGAGATGGCAATTGAAGTCATAGGAATTGATGAGATTACAGAGTGAGAAAGTGCAGAGGGAAAAGAGAAGGCTAAGGCCAGGGCTTTAGAGTATACAGAGAAGATTGAAGCATAGTAGATAGAATTGAAAACTTGAAATTTTGCTGCAGAGCAAGAGAACAGGAAGCAGCATAAATTAAAAAAATAATAATAACCTTTGACCCAGTAATTCCATTTTGGGGAAGATACCTTGAAAGTATTATAAAAAACAAAAAAAAGTCCTATAATTTTTTTAACAATATGATATGCAATTGCAAAGACTAAAATGCACAATAATAAGGTAATTTTAAAATTACTTATAGTACATTACTGTGATGGTATATTATAATGCAATTAAGACAGATATGTAAGAGGAATACAAAGAAACATCCTGACTGGGACTTAGAGGGAATGACTGACTGAAAAACTTAAAATATTTTTATTTGAAATTAATCAATTATTTTAAAATGTAAAAGTTATTAAGCAAGATTACTTAGTTGTATTGATGCTAGATGTAAAAAATGTAATAAAGCATTTATAAAAACAAATCTCAAAAAGAAAATAAATGCATGCCTTGATGTTTATATAGATTAAATGTGTGCAAACCATTTTCCAATCGTTTTAATTCGAGCCTCACAGGCCTGTGAGACAGGAACTACAGGTAATATCACCCCCATTTTACAGAGGAGGAAACTGAGGCTCAAAAGGGTTAAATGATTTGCCATAAATCTCGAAAGACCCAATTCCACCTGGAACCCAGTGGCCTGGCACAGAGTGCTTAATAAATGCTTGTTGATTGGTGTAGGGAAGATCTGTTAAGAGGGAAGAGATAGGTAGGGGGTAGAATGCCGAGAAGTACTATACCAGGAAGGAGGAGGAGAGAGAGACGGAGATGTATGGTAAATGGAACGGTAAAAGGGGCGCACACAGAGGAAAAGAAGGGCATGGGGAAAGGATGGGGGAAGTGGCAGAGAGAAGGGATAAATAACATGGCAGGGACAATTGGATCTGGGAAGACAATTTGTTCTGCCCAGAGGGAGGGGAACAAAATCAAAGCCCCGAAAAAGAGAACTGGAATAGCGTTCTTCTTCACTGCACTCCGCCTACCCCCGTCTAAAGCCCGGCACTGTCTAAGTGGCTGTGGATGACAATGACTGTCGCGCGCGCAAACACACACACACACACACACACACACAGCCGAACGACAACAGGCAGAGAGAAACATGGCAGTGCCAACGGTCTCCCTCTCCAGGTCACAGCGGGGGAGCTCAGTAAACCCCAGCGGGGTAGACCGCAGGCTCCGCAGGGGGGAAGGGGAGCTGCCGGGGAGGTTCGGCCGCAGCCCCGGGAGGGAGGGCGCCCTCGGTCACGTGCCTGGGGAGAGGGCGGTGTCTGGCGCGAGCCAGAGTCACTCTGTTCTCCCTCCGCCCCGCCCCTCTTCTCTCCCTCTCTCCCTCCCACCTCAGGCGGAAGTGAGGTTGGGACGGTGTCCGGTTGCTGCGCAGATTCGGGAGGGGAGCGATTGAGCGAGGGGGAGAGGCAGACAGACAGAGGGACAGCGGGAAGGAGGGATCGCCGCGCAGCCCGGGCAGCCCCAGCAGCTTCTGAGAAGGCGCCGACCGTGACGACGACGAGCCCCGGGAGGCCAGCATCCGCACCCCGAGCCCGGAACATCGGCGGCGGCGGCGGCGGCGGCCGCATCTCTCCTCCGGGGCCTCCCCGCCCCCAGCGTCCAGCGCCGTCCGAGAACCGAGGCCGAACCCCCGCCGCCGCCGCCGCCCGAGCCCGTGCCGCCGCCGAGGCTGCTGCCGGGGGACCGAGGCAGGGAGAGCCCCTGCAGCCGCCGCCCGAGCAAGCCAGCCCGCCCGCCTCCGTCGTCGCGGCTCGGTGAGTGAGGCGGCTCGGGGGAGGGGCCGGCCGGGGATGCCGCCTGCGGGATAACGGGGCCGGCCGGGGATGCCGCCTGCGGCCTGGCGCCGGGAGGGCCCGGGACACCCGGAGGGGGGCGGCGGCCTGAACCGCGGCGCGGCTCCTCCCCTGCGGCCTTTATCCCTTTGGGTTGGGGCCGGTCATCTTTCCATCCGTGTCTCCGGGGATGGCTGGTTGGGGTGGGTGAAGGCCTCGTCCCCATCGCTGTCGGGGGAGAAGGCGAAGGCCCTGCTTCTGTCGGTGCCTCCAAAGTCGAGGCGGGGGGCGTAAGGTGAATGAGGAGGAGATGCTGAAGGCTCCTCCGCTGCTGGGGGGGAGCGGTGCTAAGGTGTGCATGGGATGGGGGCTTTGGGGAAGGACAAGCTTTTCTCACCCTTAATTTTTTTGGAGGGCGGGGGAGACGGTGGAAGACCAGTCTTTAGGAGAGCAGGTGTTGAGTATCAGAGACCTCCCCACCCTCTGAAAGCAGTGGATATGGGGGCATGTGTGCGGGGGTACTAATGTGTTCTGACAGGGGGTGCGTTCTCCCCGGAATCTGCAGGGGAGGCGGGTTGGAGGTGGGGGAGGGAGGAAGGAGCGGTGTGCATGGGATGGATTCGATTCGATTTCTTCCCCAATTCTTCTCCCTCTTCCTCAGGCCCCAAATGAGATTTTGGCTGATGCAATGCAGGTAGTACGATTTAAATTTTCTCTTTGTTGTGTTGAACAAGTCTAGGGGATTAGTTCCGGAAGGGAATGGGCCCACCTAGTTTATCTCCCCCCCACACCACCCCCAGCAGAACACCGAGGTCCTTTGCCTCTTCCTGCCAGGATCTTAATGGCAACTGAGACCCCATGGCAGAGATGCCGGGCTTCAAACCATTGGACGTATTGGGAGATGCGCCTGGATTCTTTGCTTGGGGCCGAGCGGAGGGGAGCCTGGTAGGAGGAACCAGGTGAACTTCCCCTGCACTGTGCGGGCCCGGAAGTTTGGGACTTTGTGTTTCTTGGCCCCCCCCCCCCCCCAAGATAGGAAAGCTCTGGGAACAACCAAAAGGGGAGACCCAGCTTCAAAGGTTGTTCCAGTGCCTGTTTACTTGTCCCAGAGTACGGGTCGCCCCGGGGAAGGACAAGGCTTTCAGGGTTTCACTTTTCTCTGAAAAATGTTGTTAAATAAATTAAAGACTTGGAACTAAAGCTTTACCTTTAGTTTAACCACTTTTTCTGCCCATCAGTGGGAACTCTTCCCCTTAGGGGACATCTAGGCATCCGAGCGAATTGGGAAAGTATTTCAGAGCAAATCATTTCTGATAGAAAAAAAATTTACATTGCAGAGGTCTTGTTTTGATTATGCGTCTAAGGAATTATATTATTATTAAGAGAATGTGTGTTCAATTTATTTCAGATTCTGTTCTTAGATTTGTGTAGGGAAGATCAGGCCGTTGCAGAGATAATGGATGTGTGGGCTGTTAAAAGCAGACTCAGTAGGTAGGAAGGAGGCAGGCAGGCAACATGTATTTTAGAGGATAATTTTTTCAACTGGAAAAGGACATTAATTTTAGTGGGGGGGGTAATTTAAAAGTTCCCTATTGATCAGGAATAGCATGCATCTGGAAAATTAGATCTGTTTATAGGTAAGTTGGTAGTAAGTTTGGGATGGTTAATTCTTTCTGGCACAAAAGGACTCTAGGCACTGTGGGAAGTGGAAAAATAGATGATGGAGTGGTTGCAAATATTTATTGTGTTTGCTCCAGAGATGCCTATGACAAGGATGGTTTATGTGTAAGGGCAGTTCAAAATTCAATATAATAAGTAAGGCATTTTAAGAGTTTTTTAAAAAAATTCTTCTTAGATCAGGTAATACAAAGCTGCATTTTTTTTTAATATTTTGGAAAATGAATAGTTGTGGGCAGTATTTTTCTTGATTTTTGAGTCCTTTTGAATATAACCTTTGTAATGAAATATTTTGATAAAGTCAGTTTCCCTGCTTAGAAAACAAATGTTCGCTTTTTCAGAGTAGTAGCAAAAGGCATTTGTACCTCTAGCTTTGAAAGGGTAATAGTTAAAGGAGATATTTGTTTTAGTTCAGAAGAGAAAATTTGGAGCACAGACTAGGTTAATTTTTATATAATAACTTTAAGATGTTTCCCCAGGCTAATAACCTATTCTGTTTAAAGCAAAGCTACAGATGCTTAAGGTCAGGCATAGATGCATTTTTATGAGTTGCCTTCACTTACAGCTCAAAGGAAAGCTCACGTGAAAATTATGGAAGAATGATGTGAAAAGCAATGAACACAAAATTTTTTGAAAATAATGGTCTTTTAAGTGTTTCTCATTTTCTGAAACTGTCCTCAACTTGATCCTGTTTAAGATACTCCATTTTCCAAGCCAGATTCCTTTTAACTCCTCATCCAAGATTTAAGTTTAGGTCAGCACAATTTTGTTTAGTAATAATAAGCAGATTTCTTACAGCAAATAAAGTAATATTGGGGAATATAATTTTTTCTGTTTTATGACACATCATACACACATAACATATATCAAATACATAGAACATTAAAGATTGGTTGAATAAGGAGTTCTGAACTTTTTAAAAAAATTGATAACTGCATTTCAATATAAATGATTTCCTTTGTCATCTAAGGTATTTTATTTTACTCTTTTAAAATCATTGTTCTAGGAAGAAGTCGATAAGTTTTACTTGGCCCTAAAAAAGGGATGAGAATCCTTCACTTAGGTTATCTATTTGAATCCTTATTTTATATATGAGAAAAGCATGGTGATCACACATCTACTCAGTAGTAGCTAAACAAGGAACTTTCTCCTCAAGGAATTGTCTTGAGCTCTTTATATATTTTTCGTGGAGTAGCTACTTTGGAGCTTATGTATGTGGAAAATCAACTAAACAAACAAAAAACTCCTATGCTTTTTAGGAGGTGGTTTTCCCAGGGAGATACTTGTTTTTTTTTAATCAGGTCTTTGATTTCATTGGTACATTGAGGAGATTCCCTCTACCAATCCAGTTTCCAGGTACAAGTTACAATGTTTAGAGTTTTTGAGGGCACTGAAAGGTTAAGTGACTATCATGGGGTCATATAGAGTGTATTGGGGCAGGACTCTACCTCACGTCATCCTGACTGACTCCAGCTCTTTCTTCATTATACCATGCTGCGCTTCGTGGGATTTGTTGGCTGTGTTTGTATTTTTAGGTACTGTTGAACTGAGTTGCCGAGGGCACTGAGATGTTAAGTGACCTATACAGGGTCCATAGAGTATGTTAGAGGCACAACTTCACTCAGATCTTCCTATTACTCCAACTCTTTGTCTATTACATCATGTTGCCTTATATATACATGTGACTTTTTTGCAATGTTTGTATTCTAGATATTGAAGCAATATATACAAAACCATTAATTTGCCTCCTTCATAAGCCCTAATAGCTATATGAGGATATTTGCCATTTTTGTTCTATTATTACTTTAATTCTACTTTATTTTAATATTTTGGTTTGAATCAGATTTTCAGAAAGTTTTACTTGCTCATATTTCCATACATGTAGTAAATGTGATGTAGCTTAAGATGCATTTTATTACAGTCACTTGCTATCTTGATATTCCATAGTTTGAAATCTCATCATTCTTCACTCTTGTAAAAGAAAACTTTTCTTGATATGATCAGCTGTAGTATAGTAACCACATTAAGAATGAGAAAAGCACTGGTTCTGGAGTCCAGAGGTCCTGAGTTCAAATGTTACTTTTGAAGTTTATCCTATGTGCTTACCTTGGGTAGTCAAGTCATTCAAACTTTGAATCCTAGTTTTCTTATCTATAAAATAAAGGTGTTGAACTAGATGACTTATGAGGTTCCATCCTGTCCTATATCTATAATCTAAATCAGTGAGACATTTTAGTCTCGCTTCTTCCATTAACAAATTGTGTCATCTTGAATAACTCACTTGACTTTTTATGATATAGATGATTTCGTCATCTATAAAATAGAGATCTAACCATTTAATGTCTAAGGTAGTCTGATTGTATAATATTCTAACACTCTGATTTCCTATGTCAGTGTTTCAGCTTTAATCTGTATCTTTTGATGAACTGTATCTACTTACTGTCTTGATAGGTAACAATCCTTGTGAATGAATGTAGAGCTTTTGGGGAATCTTATGCATTTATGCCTTTATGTACCTGGCAGGAACATAGCAGCTTAGTCAGACCTCCCAAAGAATGTCAAATTATTAAGTATTCTCAGATGTATGATTAAAGTGAAATTCATTTTGACTCTTGATAATGTGGTTGATATTGTTTCTGATAGACCATCGCTTCCAGTTGGGGTATCTTAAGGTTCAAAGCAAAAACTTCAGATTTGAGAAATACTAACAATTTGAACCTTTTTGAACATTATTGGATTTTTTTTTAATAGAACCATTTTATTAAGGTGATCACAGATTCTTAAAGTTAACAAAAATTTATGCAGTACTATGTGGTTAAGCAGGTAATTCAAAATGTAGGCTAGTAGCTAGCCTTTTCATCTGATTAGTATTGATGGGATAATTATATGTTTAAAATAATATTTTTAGTCATGGTGGCTTGCATTTTTAATTAAAGGGTTTTTTTAACCATTGTCTCCTTTTTAATAGATGAGCAAATTTTTAAAAAAATGCAGAATGTCTCAAATATAAAACGCATGCCAGAATACTAGTATAACTGTTATGACTTAATTATTTGTGAACTAAAAGCTTTTAAAAAGTTATGATGTAGAGTCAGGAAGACTGGGTTCAAGTCCTGCTTCTGATGTATACTAGCTATGTGACCATGGTCAAGTTCTTAATCTCTTAAGTTCCAGGTGGCTAAATTACAGCTGAGTTGCCAAGCTGCATTGATGGAGGGGAGGAAGTTTCTCCATCAGGATTTCCCCGCATAGGGTAAATAAAACAGGTCTAGGTTAAAAAAAAAAAAATCAAAATGCTAGAAACTCTGACAGTTTCAAGGCTACAGAAAAGAAATCAGAAAGATAGACTACTGGAAAGCCATAAAGAGGATTATATCTGGGGGTTTGAGCTGTTGAGTGGAAAGATTTTATTTCCCATCTCAACATGGTACTTAATTCCCAGATTCTGTAGGGCAGAGGTGTGGAAAAACTCAGCCTCCAGCACTCCTAAGTGTAGCCCAAACCAGATTAAAATGAAATTGGGGAAGATTTACAAAATAAATAAAAATAAAATAAAACATTTTAAAACTAAGTGGCCCACAGGAATCTTTCTGTATAGCTTAGTGTCCCCTGTTTCTATTTGAATTTGACACCACTGCTATAGGGTATTGGAAAAACTTTGTTCATTTTAGGGCCTAGTCCTTTGTAAGAACCCTGGCTTTCAAATTTATACACTTAAGGCCTATATTGAGTTTTGAATAATCAGTTCCCCAAGAACCAGGCATGACTTCTTAACTTAACCCTATATCATTTGCATGTGATGACTGGAGCCTAATGTCCACAAAGAATTGAAGATGGATATGGAGAAAGTAAGGCAGCTATATGGCATGGTAGATAGTCAGGAAGACTCATCTTCCTGCATTCAAATCTGGCCTTAGACACTTCCTAACTGTTTGACTCTGGGCAAGTCACTTAACCCTGTTTGCCTCAGTTCCTCATCTGTAAAATGAGCTGGAGAAGGAAAGGGCAAATCATTTCAGTATCTATGCCAAGAAAAGGCCAAAATGGGGTCAGGAAGAGTCAAGACACAACTGAAACGACTGAACAACAAAAATGGAGAAAGTATCCAATAATTCTCTTAACATGCACACACACTTGCTCATACACACTTGCACATATACTTACAGTAGAATTCAGTTTTGAGTCTAAGTCCCATTGGTAGTGATTAGATTTAGAAATTTATAGTTACCTTACTGTCATAGGTTAATTGTACATTTTGGTTAACCATTTGGACCCAGCTCAACTGTTGGAATCATAAAGACTATTAATGATGTACTTTTTCATGAGATGTGCAGAAGTGTGCTAGGTTTGAGTTTTTGGTCGATCTTCAGAGCTTAGCTATACGTTTTGAGGACTGAAAACAAACAAAAATTATAGTTATTTTATTCATCTCTGTTCTATAATGAGAAAAAAGTATGGTACTTCTTATTTTAATAGTATAACAGGATTGGCAGTAGAGTCATACCCCTCCAAGTGTTCAAATTTTTCACTTTTTAGGGAGGGAAAAGCATTTTTATGCTAACTAATGATACTGCCTTCTCCTTCCTGTTGTTTTCCTTGTATTACTGAGAGATCATAAAATAAATGAGTATTTGTGATCCAGTCTCTCTTGAGTTTACTTTTAAACACATATTTCCATGAAAAAGCTAATGGTATTAGAAAGTAACTAAGAAGGATCTGAAAATATAAATAAAGATGTACTTCAAAGAGATTTACTCTGTACAAAGGGAAGGGCTGAAGAGGTTAGGAGATCACCTAATGGAAATTCTTACTGGCTTTCTGCCTCATTTCTTTAAAGCCCTGGGCATGTAATACTAATTTGCTTGGTTGGGGGCAATTATACAGCTCTATTACTCATTATATTTTACTAAGCCATTCATTTGAGGCTGTATTTAACGTGTCTGAGTACAATAAAAACCCTTTTAATAAATTTCCACCTTAAAATTTTCCAAATGTGATCTCTTCTAATTTTCAGGTCTTGTCTTTGAGTCTGATTTTTTTTTTTCCATTTTTCTCCTAAGTTACCCTTGGTAAGTTTTTATTAGCTGAGTCCTTTATAATATACTTCATAATGATACTCCTATATCATCTTAGCTTCCTTGATTTTAGGGTCATCTCTCTCCAATTATCTGGAAACAGATTGCTGAAAATAATCTTTCTTTCTAACATTCTTCTCAAAAGTCTTCAGCGACCCTGATTTCTACTCTACATAAATTCTTCTGCCTGACTTTCAAAAGCCTCTCTAAAAACTTGCATCATCTTACTCTATCCAGTTTTATTTACTAGAAATAGGATAAAAATAGTCTGCCATCAAGTTTTTTTGTATCTGGAGGATGGACAAGAAGTACAAGAAATAATTAGAAGATAAAAATAGCTTTCAGGCAGCTAGATGTTTGAGTGGATAGAATGCCAAGCCTGGAGTCAGGAAGACTCATTTTCCTGAGTTGAAATCTGGCCTCATACATTTACTGACTGTGTGACCGTGGGCAAGTCATTTAACCCTGTTTGCTTCAGTTCCTCATCTGTAAAATGAGCTGGAGAAGGAAATGGTAAACGACTCCATTATCTTTGCCAAGAAAAACCCCAAATGGAGTCATAAAGAGTTGGATATGACTGAAACAACTGAACAACAACAAAAAACAATAGCTTTCAGACAATGCAGTACAAATTGTAAATAGACCTTTGAAGGGCCAAAGAATTGTGTGAATTAAGGAGTCGGGAAAGCTCTTGGATGGACTGTAAGGAAAGAAAATGGATTAAACAAATCAACCTTTTTTATTTTTTAAATTGTTATTCTTGTCCTACTTTAGGCCTTGGTCATAGCTGAATTATTGAACTAGGCTTTTTTAGTATGACTTCATTGCTGCTGTCAAAACAGTCTTCTAAAAAAAAAAAGTTTTATTGATATCTTTTTCAAACTTCACAGTCACTTCCTATGCTTCCTCATACAACTACGTGGTACAGTGGATAGAGGCTTGGACCTGGAGTCAGGAAGACCTGAATTCAAAACAGGCTTCAGACACAATAGCTTTGACTCTGGGAATGCCACTTAACAGCTGTCTGCTTCAGGTTCCTCAACTGTAAAATGAGAATAATAATAGCATTTACCTCCCAGGCATGTTGTGCAGATCAAATGAGATAATATTTGTAAAAAGCTAAGCACAAGGCCTGGCACATTACCCTTTCCTTTCCTTCCTTCCTCCCTCCATCTGTCCATCTCTTGTAACAAAGAACAATTAAGCAAAAAAAAAAAATTTTTTTTTTGACATATTAGTGGAATCTGCAAATGTGTCACTCATGGGAAGAGGTGCGAGGCATAATTAAATATCAGTCACTATTGATTATTGCACTGATAGAATTCCGAAATCTTTCATTTTTTCCCCCATTATATTATTGTGGTCATTCTGTAACATAAGAGGTCGTTTCCTTCACCCCTATCATTTAAGAGTTTTTAAAATTTTGTCAAATCCATCAAATGGCCTTCCACAGAGCTATCAGAAGAAATTTAGTTTTATGATAAGTTTGAGGCGCTTGGTGGATATTTGGCTGAAAATATCTAAGATGTATTGAAAACTGTGGGACTGGCATTCAGGAAAGAATTTGGGGCTAGAGAGAGCCTGAATATCATCATTAAGACTATTATTACTGCTGGTTAGATGTACCCAGTTCATAGAATATTACATAATGCAGTTGAAATGTACTGATAATGTATTGGAAAGAACTTTGCACTCAGGAGAGACCTGGTACCCGTCATGCATCTTAATAGCTGTGTGACCATGGGCAATCACTAAAGCTCCTGTGAGCTTTAGTTTTATCTATAAAATGGTCATAATACCTGTAATATCTTTTCTCATAGTGTGGGTTCTGAGGGTTAAATGAGTTACTGTATGTAAACTGCTTTGCAAACCCTTAAAATGCTATGTAATTGTTAGCTATAATCATTAACTTTGAAGATTGACTTCAGATAGAGTAACTGCCCTCCACTGAATGTCCCTGAAGCAAAATACTGAGTGGGTTAGGTCGTGGTTCTTACTAATTGTCTGTGGAGTTATTGGTAATGTGTTACTTTCAAGTTCTTGTTGCCATTATTATTTAATCATCTTAATTAAGTACCGTTTTGACAGGCAGATTATTCTCTGTAGCCTAGGAAATGAGAAAAGTCTCTCCTAAACCAAAGCTACAGTTTATTTCCTAAATTAGTAAACAGAACAACTGGCCATTTTCTTTGTTCACTATTGTGACTTAAGACCCTCATAGTACAACCCATCTTTAAATTATTATAGACTACGTAGAGAACTCTTCAGAAATATGCCTGTAGAAGAATCTGAGAAACCAATGCTTACCTAAAATTTATTTTCTTTTATCTTCAGTTCTTGAAATCATGAATCCTGTTTATAGCCCTGGATCTTCAGGGGTTCCCTATGCAAATGCCAAAGGAATTGGTTATCCAGGTAAGTCATTACAAAGTAGTATTTGTTGTTAAATTTTGAAAATGTGATTCATTGATGATTTTAGAAGGTGAAGTAGATTAGCAGCGTGAAGCCTGTGTTACAAAAATTGGTCTTTTTCATTATAATTTACAACGGAGAGAAAAGGGGACAAATTCTCTGGATTTGAAATTTTCTCAACATTAATTCAAATACTAGAAATGTTAAAAGGTATAAATAAAGCAAATAACTATTGGTTAGATAACCGTTTTTTCTTAAGGAACAGCCCTTTTTTCTTCCATCTTTCTTTTGTTTTAAGATTGAAGGGTTTGGGGGGAGCCTTTAAATAGTTTCTCATTTATTGCTTTAGCTTTTTCTTTTTAAAACTTCTCCCTTCTTTATTATACTAATTCTTTATACACAGTAATCTGGCCCATTTTCCACATTTGGTGGCTTTCCTGTTTGCCTTTGTTCTTTGTAGCTTTGCTTAACCAGTTTAGTTTCTTTTTATTCCATCTGTTTTTTTTTTAAAGCACTGGAGATTGTTTCTATGCTTTTTATAAAAGTGATTTTGTAAAAACTGTCTAACTTTAAAAATTTCTCTTGTTTCTTAATGCTCTCTTTCCATCAGGTCCTTTTTATTAGTGCACTGTTTGTTAAATTCTGCTTTCTTAAAGTTGATTTAATCACAGTTTCACTGATTGCTCAGTTTCTTTGGAAATATGACAATCATTGGTGTCCTGTTGTGGTTCTTTCACTAGTGTTTAAATGTCTTTGGATAGATCATCAGCTGTTTCTTGATAACTAGTAAGGACCACATTAAGAAGCGTATTTACCATAAATGATCTTGTACTTTGTGACTTAGAAAATTGCCCTTGACACAGTCCAGAAATTTTCTTGATGGTCCTTGGCCTTACTATTTTTCTAGCACGTAAAACTATATCCATACCCAAATCCTCTTTGGAAAGTTATTATCATTTGTTTATTTTAGATGTATACTTCAATCTTATTTTCATTCCACCTTAACCTCATATACTGTTGGGCCTTAAAGTATTTGCATATGTTTCTAACCCTTGTCTGTCTTCCCTCATCCTTTATCTGACTCCTCCACATTGCTATTTATGTGTCCCCTGTAAAGAGGAGCTGGACAACAGCCGTGAAGCTCTTTTTGTTGAATGTGAGTCTGGACACCCAGAGGAAGTGCTATCACAAGACTATGGGTCCCTGAGTAAGATTCTTAGGCACTGGCAGGTGGGAAGAATCATCTTCCTTCTCTAAAGGGAAAAAAAGATATATCATGATAGTTCATGGCCCCTCTTTGAGAGGTATGAAGATGATAGTTTATAGATTTGACTTAGAAAATTTGGAGGTGCACTGTCTTCCTGAAAACTATATCTAAAATATGATGGAAAACCTGTTAAAACTTATCAGACTGGTAGTTGATAAATTCTGATGATTGATGTAGAGGAGAATGATTGTAGAGCTTTGGAGTGCATCTCTAGTAACTTCTAACTTGTAAGTGAGAAAGTGAAAAATATGCAGGCTCATGTGGATGATTTCCTCTCTTCAATTTGGTGATCAAGACTTTGGGAAGAAAATTTTAGAAAATAAATTGTTGATTACATAGAGGGTGTCGTAGACTATAAGTTGAATTCCTGGATCAGAAGCTATAATGTCAGTGCAGTTGGATTCTGGCACGAGATAGAATTTGGCCAGAGTTATATTGACTCAAGAGAACTTTATAATGAATTTAGAGAAGGAGAGAGAAAAGCATTTAGATAATTATAAAATCAGATATTATAGAGAACATCTTGCAACATAAAAATTGTATTGTTGAGGTGTGGTACCTAATGATTGTTAAGTAAAAATAGCTCTGGAATGATACTTACAATCTCATATACCAGTGCACAAAATATGGCTAATACAGCAAAATGAACTTGAACTTAATACAAAAAGGTAAATAAAATCTCAACTATTATTAAGACTTGGTGGTATGGGCCTCATGACTTTGGTTTTGGCAATAGAATGATGTATCTTGTTTAAAAGAAACAGATGTAACAGCATACTTTCTTCAAGAACAAGTTGTGCCAAATTAACCTTATTTTTTTTCTTTTGACATAGTTACTAAATTTGTAGGTCTGAGGGATAGATATGGCGTACCTAGATTTTTAATGAAACGTTTCAGAGTATCTCAGGCTATTCTTACAGAAAAGATGGATAGAAGTGGTATAGATGATAGTAAAGGATCATAGACCTAGAGTTTGAGGGACTACAGAGGTCATCTCACTCCTCTCCTTCTGATGCAGATGAGGAAACAGAGGTATGTCCAGAGAGGTGTGGGGACTTACCTAAGGCAGAACGTGTAAAAAGTAGCACAGCTGGTATTTGGAACCAGATCTGGCTCCATAAGTAGGGGTTTCTGCTATATCTCAATTAGATGGATTCAAAGCTAGTTGAATGGCTGGCCACAAAGAGTAGTCATTAATGATTCATTGTCAGCATGGAAGGAGATATTAAATAGAATGCCCCAAGGATCTGTACTTGGTATTTTCCTGTGTAATATTTTTATCATTGACTTGGATATAGTCGTGGATAATATGATTATCACATTTGCAAATGAAAAACTAGGAGGTAATAGCTAACACCCTAGATGAAAGCCAGTATTCAGGAAGATCTTGGCAGGCTGGAACATTGGGCAAAATTGAATAAAATGAAGTTTTAATAGTGATAAATACACATTTGGGTTTAAAAAAATCAGTTTCACAAGTATAAGATGGGATTGGCATGACTAGATAACAGTTTGCCTAAAGACTATCCTAGCTTAATATGAATCAGCATTCTAATACTGCAGCCAAGAAAGTAAATGTAATCTTAGGTTGCATTGAGAGAGTTATAAGGAGATGATAATTCCAATGTAATCTGCTCTGATGAGACCACTCCTGGAATGTTGCAGTTGTCACTGTTGACCTTTTTTCCCTCCTAGATATTTTCTCTTCTTGAGTTGTCAGTACACTACTCTCTCGGTTTTCATACCTGTCTGACTGCTTCTTCACAGGATGGATCTTCATCCGTGTCATGCCCACTAACTGTGGTTGTTCCCTAAGGCTTTAGCGGGAGATCTTTTCTCTTTTCTTTCTTTACTCTCAATTGTTGATCTTATCAGCACCCATGGGTTCAGTTATTTTCTATCTAGGTGATCCTCACATCCATATGTCCAGTCTGAGACTCTCTCCTGGGTTCCATTCCCACATCAATAACTACCTAGTGGACATTTTGAATCATATGCCCCCTAGGCATCTCAGCCTCAACATTCTCAAAACAAAACCCACTGCCTTCCCCCCAAACCCACCTCTCTTCCAAAGCTGTCTATTATTGTTGATGAGTACTATGCTTAACAGTAATAGAGAATACCGAGCTTCCATCAGAAATCTTCTGTAGGAGTTCTGTAGGAGTTTCCTGGTTCCCTGTGTTGCTAGTGCCTTCTCTTTTAGGGTTATCTCACAGTTACCTTCTTGTTCTCCCCCTCCCTTCCCCCCTGCCTTTTTCTTAATAGAATGTAAACCCTTTGCATGCAAAAGTTGTTTGTACTTTTTTTTGGTGTGTCCCCAACACTTAGAATTGTGTTTGGCATGTATATAATAAGTACTTAATAAAAACTTGATTGTTTGTGAGTACCATATTTTAGGAAAAACACTGGTAAACTTGAAAGTATATTATAGAGGTAGGTAGCTAGGATGGTGAAAGGCCTCAAGTTCATGCCACATGAAGATTAAATGAAACAGCTAGGGACTATTAGTTTTTAGAAGAGAGGCCTTAAGGAAGGGAGGACATAAATATTTGAAGGCTGACAGAAGATGGATTGGTGTTCTCTTTGGCCCCAAAGGGCAAAATGAGAACCATTGAGTAGGTATGACTGAGAGGCAAAATGGTTATGAGGGAAAACATTATCAGTTATAGCTATCTCAAAGTGGAATGGACTTTGTTGGTCAGTAGTAGATTCTCCCTGAATTGCTACAATTCTGTGAAGGGGAAGGATGAAAAGCACTGAATGATGATGATGGTGATGATGATGATGATGATGATGATGATAATGATAATTCATAGAATACTTTATGATTTACAAAGTGGTTTATGTATCATTTCATCCTCACAATAATCTTGTTAGGTAGATTTTTATAAATTTTATCATACCTACTTTACAGATGAGAAAACTGAGATGAAGATAGTTTAATTGATTTGCTAAAGATCATGTATCTAGTAAGTGGTTGAGTTGAAACTTAGCTCAAATCCTCTGGCTCTTCCTATCACTCTTAACACCCTGCTTCCCCTATATAAAATGATTCTAAAAATGCAGAGATTTTGGAAAGCATTTGAGTGAGGATAAAAGAAAGAAACAGAAGTAATGTTATTGTATAAGTTTATATTATAAATTGCCTAACCGAAAAGGAATGTGGTTGATACCTAATGGAAATTACCAAACTGGCACCAGGGGCAAGATTTTAATAATGGAAGACTTCACTCCTTTGTAGACCTGTTGTAAATCTTACTCATCTAAAAGCAGAGTATCTGATAAATTATTAACTTGTCTGATTGCCTCTTCCATCTCCAAGAAGGTAGAGAAGGCAAAGAAAGGAACTGTTATTTTAGATTTAATTGAGATCAAGAAGAATTGGGTCGGTGAGGTAGTACTGGCAGGTGCCTTGGGGGCAAAGTGACTTACTTTAGAGTTTATAATAGTCAAGGAAGGGAATGTTAGACTTACTTGGATATGTACCTAGATTTTACTAAAACAAATTCCAGAAAGTAGGGGGAAAAATATGTATGATCTTATAGCTAGACATTTTAAAAGGAAATATAACTTAAAGGATGAGAGTCTAAAAAATGAAATTTTATCTTTACAACTGTATAAAATCTTGACAAGAGACTAAAGGGGGAGCCATTTTAAGAAACCAGGGGCTACATGAAAATTATACATGGGGCACATGAAAAGGACAAATACAGAACAGTGGTATGAACAAGAAAGAACAGATTCAGGGAGGCTAACGCCCTAAATGAATGGAAGTGACTAAAAACTGCTGATGACCTCAAAAAGGGGTGGGGGGGGGACTTTTACATAACATATTTGGGCCAAGAAGAAAACAAAGGGTTGATAGGTTTATTGGTTGGAGCAGATGACATAATATGAAAGGATGATAAAAGAAGGCAAAACTATTTAGCCTTTTTATTTTCATCATCTATTAGTAGTCCCACCATTCTCTTTGTTATCCAAGCTTCCCGTTTTGCCACAGCTCATGTCCAGTTGAATGATGATGATGATACTAATAAATGTGAGGATTTATATAACACCTACTTTGTGCCAGGCACTGTGCTAAGTGCTTACAATTAGCATCAAATTTAATCCTTGCCACAACCCTGGGATGCAGAGGCTATTATGATCCCCATTTTACAGTTGAAGAAACTGAGAAGACAGAGGTTAAGTAATTTGCCCCTAGGGTTACACAGATAGTAATTGTCTGAAGCTTGATTTGAACTCAGGTGTTCTTGATTCGGCCCAGTGATCTATCCACTGGGCCACCTAGCTGCCCAGTTTGTTGCCACATCTCTTGATCCTACCTCTGAGATAATTCCCAAATCCACATCTTGCTACATTTCTGTTGCCTCTACCACAAATCAGACGTACACTGGGCTTAGAGTCAGAAGACTGAGTTCATGTTCTGGCACCAACTGAAATTTTACTGGCTACGTCATCATAAAGTCATGATTTCTTTGAGTCTCAGTTTCTCCATCTGAAAAACAGGGGTAATATATTTATATTGCCTCACAGGATAGTTTAGTTTTAAGAAAAGTAACTTTAAGCACTGTGTTAATGTGGTATGGATAATTATTGTAATTACTCTATTTTATCTGTTATTATAGTAGTTTTCTAATTGATCTCACTGGCTAACTTCCTTTTTGGGGTCATTCAAGGTCCTCTACAAACTTGTTTCGATTTCACCTTTCTACCAATCTCACACTGTTTTTTTCATGTGTTCTACAGTCCTTCCAAATTGGACTTCTGAACTTGACATTCCCTTTTCCTGCCTTTGAGCATTTGACTCAGTGTATACCTTGAATGTTCTCACTGGAGCATTGATTTCAAAAAAGCTTAGAGGTTATATTGTCCAACTCCCACATTTTACAGATGAAGAAACTGAGGACCAGAGAGGGAGAGTGACTTTACCAACGTGACGCAGAGCCAGCATTCTTCCTACTGGGGGCACTTTATCATCTTCTAATGTGGAAATATTCTCTCAAAATTATTCATGTTTTATTTCTTTTTACTATACTATTAAAATCTTTAGGTCAAGGACTGTACCTTGTTCATATTTATATCTATTCATTGCTTCACATGGTGTCTTACATAAAATAGGATTTAATAAATACTATTATTAATAAATGTTGACTATCTTGAATTTAATTTTCTTCATCAAGGAAAACGATCTAATTGGCAACAGTAGAATAAACTCAAACAAGAGTTCAGGTCTCCAAAGTCTAATTATCTTTCAACTAAAAGGAACAAAGAATAGTGATTTTAGGGCTGCTGTAAAACATATTTGAGAAACTGTGAAGAAAGGGAATGTTGCCTGAAGGCTGGAGATTGACAAATGTTCATTCCAGTTATTAAAAAGGGGAAGAGAGTGAACTGTAGAAACTCAAACCCTTAAATTTGTTGTTGATGTCCAGTAAAAATCCAGAATGTATTATTAAAATATATAGAATGTGAGTATTGTAGAAAATAATGTGGGATTATCTGCATGAAAAATTCAAGTCATCTAAAAGCTAATCCTATTTTCATTTTTTGGTTGGTATACTAGGATGCTATGTACAGAAACCATTTCATCAAGTTATTTGACAATGTTTTTCACAGTTTTGTTGCTAAATTGGTTAAATTTGTCTGGATGATATTACAGTTAGGTAGATTTGGAACTTGCTGAACCACCAAACCCTAGCAATTTGTCATAACTTTTTTTGTTGACTTAAGAGATGCCTTTAGTGTCATGCTACAGTCTTCAGCAGGTGACTGGACTTGTGGTCCCTACTTTGTAGCTTAAAGTCTTAAAGAAGAATTTTGTCTGGACACTGAGAGGTTACATAAATTGCATCACGTCACATGGTTAATAGATGATTGAGGCAGGACCTGAATCTAGGTGTTCTATCCTCAAAGCCAGTTCTTTGTCCACTATACCATGCCACCTCTCATTTCTTAAAAAGTTATGTATTTAATCACAGGCTTACAGACTTCACTCTGAACATGGCCAATTACAATTTTGAAAAAAGGCACCAGGAGACATTGTCTCCTAGCATATTCTATTGTGCTGACTTTACAAGTGAATCAGGCATTTTGGAGGTGAATCTTAATATTCTTTTAAGTACTTGTGGCAATCCAGGTTGTAAGCAGTATTATTATTTCAGAGAATAACCTTGGAAATTATTTTTTTCTCTTCAGCTGGCTTCCCAATGGGCTATGCAGCGGCTGCTCCTGCCTATTCCCCTAATATGTACCCTGGAGCAAATCCTACCTTCCAAACAGGTATGCATATAGATGAATTGTTGTTAACAATTTTAAATAATGTGTGTCATAATATAAGAGAAAGAGTATTGAGACAGTGGGAAATTTTGAGGGAGTTAATATAAAAATTAGGGTTCAGGTGTTCCTAATGTTGGCTTGATATCAAGCTTCAATCTAGTAACTAGGAACAACATTAGCTAGTTAACATACAGAGAGGGAGAGAGAGAGAGAGAGAGATTTTTTTAGGTTTGCAAAATGCTTTCCAGATATCTCATTTTCTTAACAATCCTGAGGAGTAAGTGCAGTCACTCTCCTCATTATACAGTTGAGGAAATTAAGGCAGACAGAGGGTAAATAACTTGCCCAGAATCACATAGCTAGTAAATATCTGAGGTCAGATTTGAACTCTGGTCTTCCTGACTCCAGGCCCAGCTGCTCTAACATTAAACCTAAATAGAAGTAGTCACATTTACATGTGTAAACCGTTGCCCTTTGACATTTGTATTGGAGTATCCTGTCTCTATTGTTAAAAGAAATTAGTTTTGAATATAAAGTTTTGTTTTCCATATCTTCTTTCTGTTTTGAAAATATGTTTCAGCTTTTAGAAATTTGTGTTGTAACTGAAGACTTTTGCACCTTCTGTACCTTTTTGGGTATAGCATTTTAATCCCAAAGGCATTCCTGAATGGTGTATGAATTTTCTCCCTGTTTAACTAAAATGGATTTCATCTATCCGGCTTATAAAAGAAACAAACAATTCAGCTGTGTCATTTGCCACCTGTCTGGGAATATTTCCCCTGTAACGAAAGCTTCTTGAGGACTGTTGCACTTTTGTCTTTATGTCCACAGCACTTAGCTCAGTGCCCAGCAAGATAATAGATGCTTTTACACATGCTTGTTAGTTGATTTATTTTGATCCCAGCTACTTCCTTGATTATTGGGATAGAAGAGATTACCTTTCTTCCGATGAGAGGAAAGACAAGAGAAACCTTATCCTTTGCCTTTTTGTAGTCCAGCAGTATCCATGTTCTGTTGGGTCTTCCTTTATACTGTCTATCACATCTCTCTTCCTATTTTTACCACTACCACATAACTCACACTTTTGTCTATTACCTGGACTAGTATAGTAGCTCCGTAATTGGTCTTCTTGCCTCTGGGTATTTCTCCACCAGTCCATCTTCAACACTGTCACCAGATTAACGTGGCTGAGATACTCTGTCCTTGCATTCACATCCTCTTAAGTTACCTGATCCTCATCTACCTTTTCAGCCTTAGTGTTTGTATTGTTTCTGAAACTAAATTGTGAACACTCTGAGGGCAAGGATTGATGTGTTCTAAGGCCCTGTCCAGGGTATTAGAAGTGATAGGAAGGTGGGAAAGGAGGAAGAAAATCAGAGGAAAAAGGATAACGTATCAGCAATTGACCTGCAAGCAACGGACACTCTTGACAGAGGAGGTGAAGGAGATCCAGCTAAAAGGGGATAGAATAGAGCTTCAGTCCCATGGGGAAGAGTAAACAACTAGCTGCTCTGTCCCTCAGTGGCCCTGAAGGCATAGGATCCTCCTAATTCACGTTCCCGGTGGAAGAGATACAAGCAGCCGCCTATACTTTTGTTTTTGAAAGCCTTAGTATGTAATCCTGAAAACATATACTAAACATAATTCAGGAATCAAGATAGGAATGAACTATATCTATATCTAGATATCTAGATACAGATCCTAGACATACATTTATGTCTATATGCATATAGTTAATATCTTAATACATATGTATGTAGATATCTAGACAGGGGTCTATGTCTAGATATACCTACGCGTGTGTGTGTGTGTATGTGTATGTGTATGTGGTGTGTACACTTATACGTGATATATGAAATATGTATATGTAGTTAAATAGATATGAGTAGCTGTCATCTATCTCTGTCAACATTTACTGTCTTAGTTTGTTACATATAGTCTATGTTGATAGATAACATATAAATAGAGGATTTATTTTATCTTCCCATTGCTCCCAATTCTACATTATAGGAGACCACAGAATTTTAATCATTCTACATGGCAACCCTTCAGATGTTTAAAGTTACTCTACCTTTTCTCAAATTATTTTTTTCCAGGCTAAATATCCCTAGTTCTTGCAATTGTTCTTTAATGTGGCATGGTTTTGGGTTCTTCCCTATTCTGATTGTCCTCTTCTGGTCATGTTTCAGCTTTGAGAATGTGATGCCCAGCATTAGGCACAGTATTCCATGTGTGGTTTAATTAGTGGCAGTTACAACAAGGCTGTCAATCCTCTTGTTAATATAGTGTAAAAGCACATTGCTGTTTTTTGGCTGCCACCATTATTTTCCTGACTGATTTTGAGCATATAACCTATAAAAACTTGTGTATCATTTTCACTTGGTATGCTTTTCTAGTAATGTCTTTTCATTCTGTCATTATGCAGTTTCTGCAGAAAACCAAAATTTAGGGCTTTATATCAGATTTTACTTAGTAGAATCACTGTACCATTCTAGGCTGTCAGGATCATTTTTGCATCCTAAATTTGTGTTGCATTGTATTAGGTAGAAATCTCTTAGCTTCATGCAGTACAGATTTTTAATTTATATGCCATCTATACTGTAAAGCGGCACTGCCCTGGTTCATGATCCTTTTTCAACCCTAGTTCTTGGCAATCAGTTTTTTTTTTTTTTTAAGTTGGGCAGTGGGGGTTAAGTGAATTGCCTAGGGTCACACAGCTAGTTAAGTGTTATGTGTCTGAGGCCGGATTTGAGCTCAGGTCCTCCTGAATCCAGGGCTGGTGCTCTATCCACTGCGCCACCTAGCTGCCCCCCAGTTTTCTTTTTTGAACTGACTCCAGAGGACCTTGTTCCTTTGGCTTATGTTTTTCTCAAAGAATTTGAGTCAGTTAATGATGAGTCATTATTGGGTCACTATTATTGTGGCCATGAACATCTCAAAAAGTGTTTGACCTCACTGAATCTGGGTACATTCCTTGTCACAAGCCTTAGATTACGCATGCTTTTTTTTCTAAAGGCATTTATTTTCAAGGGAAAAGAGTCCTTAAAGAAATAACAATAGTAAAGTTTGGATAATAAAAAAAGCCTTTAAAACAAGATTCTTTTCCTTTCGTTGTGACATGTTTCCCTCAAGCATGTGCCTCTTCACAGAATAATGTTTTAAATGCATAAAATATATAGAACTACAAAGGAAACAACTGTGTTGAAGAATACTTATCAAATTTTTTTTTTTAAACACATTCATGGATTCCAGGTTAAGAATGCTACTCCAAAAAAAATTCTGTATACCAGTCAACCCAGATGGTCCACAGGCTTCCTAAACAGTTCTTAACTAGTTAACTTTTTTCTTTTTTTGGTGGGGGGGGGATAACAGCCTAACATTACTTCACTTAGAGCCCTAGGAACCTGTCTTAATTCCATAGTCCCATTTGTGATTTAAAAAAAATTTTTTTCTAAATAGTTACAGAGAGTTTTCTTTTCTGTATAATATGTATTTATTGGTCAAAAGAAGAATTTTCACTCAGAAATGTATAAAGCAAGGATTCCCATTCTTACCACTTTTATTTTATATAGTAGTAGAAATTGCAGCAATTGTAGGAAGACAAGAAAAAGATATGAGGATTAACTTTGTAAATAAAAGAGGTCCTAGCATTATTTGCCCATGACATGTTAGTATATCTAGAAAATGCAACTGTCTGAAGCAAAAACATTTTAAATTCAGTTTTATTTGTTTTCAGTACCAAATTTCTCTCCCTTTCTCCCACCCACCAAGAAAGCAAGAAAAACAAGTATGTATAGTTAAGTAAAACAGATTCCTGCATTACCTCTGCTTCCCCCTTCCTCTTCTCAAAAGAAAGTAAAATATGCTTCAGTTTGTAGTCCAAGTCTGTCAGCTCGAGGTTAATAGCATGTTTTATGAATCCTTTGGAATTGTGGTATATCATTGTGTTGGATCAGATTTCCTAAGACTTTCAGAGTTTTCTCTCTCCACGATGTTGTTGTTATAAATTGTTCTTCTGGTTCTGCTTACTTAACTTTGTATTACTTCGTACAGGTTTTCCCAAAACCATCCCCTTCATCGTTTCTTACAGTATGAAAATATTCTATCACATTCATATACCATGATTTTTTCATCCATTCCTTAATTGATGCACACTCTTATCAGTTCCAGTACTTGGCTGCCACAAAAAGTACTGCTATAAATATTTTTGTACACATAGATCTTTTTTCTTCTTTCTTTGATCTCTTTGTGGTATAGACCTAGTAATTGTATTGTTGGGTCAAAGGGTATACATGGTTTAATAGCTTTTTGGGCATAGTTTCAAATTGCTTTCCAGAATGTCTAGACCAGTTCACAGTTTGACCAACAGTGCATTAATGTACCTGTTTAACCATAGGCCTTCCAGCATTTGTAGTTTTTCACTTTTATCAACTTTGCCAATCCGATGAATAAAGTAATACTTTTGGTACCTAACATAGAGTTATTTTAATTTGTTTTAATTTCTATAACCATTAATGATTTAAAAAAATTTATATGACCAATGAACGGATCTTCCTTTGAGAACTGCCTATTAATATTCTTTGACCACTGAGAATGGCTCATTATTAGAGATTTGAATTGGTTTCCTATATATCTTAGAAATGAGACCTTAACCAGAGAAGCTTGTTATGAAGATTTCCTCCCTAATTTCCTGATTTTCAAAGTTGTTTCATTTTTTAGAATGTATTTGATGCCATTATGTAGTGGTGCAGGCTTGTAGTCCCTACAGAGAAGCTTAGGCTGGTAGATTCTAAGCTTAAGCTTAGAAGTTCTGACCTTCATTAGGGCTAAAGTTTCCACACTAAGTCTAGCATCAGTATAGTGAGCTCCTGGAAATAGAGGTCTGCAAATCTGCCTATAGAGGAGCAATCTGGTCTGAGTTGGAAATGGAGCAGATAAAAGCTTCTGTCCTGATCATGAGTGGAGTTGGGCCTTTGAGTGACTACTGTACTTGTAGCATGAGT